ACAAAGAGATTAAGTGATTGTGCAGTGTCACACAGTTAGTACATTGACTGAGGCAGTATTCAGCACTTTATTTTCTTTACTCCAAAGCTTTCTAAAAAGATATTCTTCCATGTTCTAAGTACCACCACCCCTATAGGGAACACTATTCAATAGCAACAAACACACCCAAGGACAATTGTCTTTTATAATTTTATAACACAGACTGTTCCCCCCCCTCCTTTCTCTCTCTCTCTCAAAACATCTTAATTTTTTCCTAAATTTAGTGAGACAAAGTGACATCTACCAGTATTTGGTTTAAAATATCCTAATTTTCTGGCTATTTTCAGGAATGAATCATCAAACTACAGCATATGAAAATTTGGCTTAAGTGCTCACATACCCTGTCTACCTATGCCTATCTATTCAGGACACACCAATACATTCAAAAGCAGTTTAATGAGTTAAAATTTATTCACAGAAGTGTAGAATGTTGGAAAGGTTTCCACCCAGTCACTAACAAGGGAGGATAAAAAAGGAATAAGCATTTGTGTAGTACTTACTATAGGCCAGGCACTATTCTCAGTTTCATTCATTGTTTTAGTCATGTTCATCTCTTTATGACTCCCATTTGGAGTTATTTTGGCAAAGATACTGGAATGGTTTGCCATTTCCTTCTCCAGTTCATTGTACAGATAAGGAAACTGAGGCAAACAAGGTTAAGTAACTTGCCCAGGGTCACCCAGCTAGTAAGTGTCTAAAGTCAGATATGAACTCAGGCCTTCCTGACTCCAGGCCTGGCATTCTATCCACTGCCCCACCTAGCCACCACTATACTAAGTGCTTTTTCCAAATATTATTTCATGCAATCCTCACAACAATCCTCAAAATTAGGTGCTATTCTTATTCCAATTTTATAGTTAAGGAAACTGAGGAAAACAGAGGTTACATGACTTACCCAGGGTCACACCACTAGTAAGCATCTGAGACCAGATTTGAATTCAGGTTTTCCTAACTCAACATTCTATCTACTGTGCCACCAGCTGCTTCTGGAACAAAATGACACTAGAACAAGAATCATCTGCACCTCACCCTAGCCTTGAAGACCTCCAGATTTGGAAAACCCAGTACAGTCCAAAGCAGCCCATTCTAATTTTGGACAGCTCCTATCACTAGGAAGTTTTTTCTTAACATGAAGTCTAAATATGCCTCTTTGCACCTTCCATCCATGCTTCTTCCTCTGGGACCAGGTCTAATCCATTTTCCATACAACAGCCCTTCACTCACATCATACAGAAAATGGAGGGATGCCTATTAATTGTAGAATGGCTAAATAGGTCATGGTCTATGATTGTAATGGAATACCACTGTACTATAAGAAATGATGAGCAGGTTGATTTTAGAAAAAACATGGGAAGACTTGCATGAAATAATGGAGAGTGAAATGAGCAGAACCAAGAGAATGCTGTCTACAGTAACAGCAACAGTGCTGGAAGAGTAACTGTGAATGACTAAGCTATTCTGAGTATTATAAATATTCAGATCAACTACAAAAGATCTATGAAGGAAGATGCCATCCACCTCCAGAGAAAGAACTGATAAATAGAAGTATACATAATATGGTTTTACATACATACGTACATACACACATATATAAATACACACATAAATGTGTACGTCAAATGGTGGCCTTTTTTAGTGTGGGTTGGGGAAGGAAGGAGAAAGATAGTTCTCACCTTAAAAAATAAAGAAAATTAAAAAAAGGAAAAAAGAAATAGAATTGCTGTTGCATTTCAAGTCAGAATTTGCTGAAGATTTCTCTCACTTTCTAGCAGTTGTCATTTGTTCCTTCAACATTGCTAGTGATTTTTCCTATTGCTGAGTATGAGTACCATTTAATGTGTATTCCCTGCAGGGATATGACTGCAAGTAAAAATGTCATTGCTTTTCTTGAACTGTTTCTTCCAAAGGGAGGTGCTTGATAATTGCCTGCACTTTAACTTTAAAACTATTTTTTTCCTCTAATGGGGGCCATGGAGCTGATTTTCCTTTATACCCCATCAGGGGCCTGGAAGTCTAATTTTGTTACTTTCTCTTCCAACAGCTGCTCCTTCCTTCAGTGGAGACAGAGAACTCAGTGAGTCCTGATTGAAAGAATCTTCTTCCAGGATCATATAACCAAAGGATCTAGAACTGAAATAGACTTCAGAGATCAACTAGTCTGATCCTCTTATTTCACAGTTTGGAAAAATGAAGTCCAAGTCCAATACCGAGCAGTGGAAAGAGTATTAACTCTAGCAACAGAGGACCTGGGTTCAAATATTTCCTCTCCCACTTACTACCTGTGTGACCTTGAACAATTCACTAACCTACCTATATCTCTGTTTTCTCATTTGCAAAATGAGGGAGCTGAGAAGACTGTCTCCAAGGTCCCTTCCAGCTCTAAATCCTAATGTAATGAGGAGACTCAGGGTCCATCCTTAGAGCATGCATAATGTGCTAAGCCTGCTTCTGTAAATGTGTGATGATATATATGCCTCTCAGGTGTTATCATCCCAATGTAAAGATGAAGAAACTGAAGCTAAGAAAACTTAAGTAACTAGCCCATGCTCAAGACAGCTAATAATAACTAATTTTAATATGGCAAAGCATTTTCTCCCTGTAAGTTCTGAAATATAAGTATTATTTTTTTCTTCAGGATGAAACACCCTTTAAGATTATCTCTCTGCCTCCAGAAAGAATTGAGCTAGTCAGTGAAGAAATTAATAAATATATAGGGATTACAACAGTGGAACACCCAGGGAGGCAGATTTCAATTGTGTTCTGTATCTCATGTTTCTTACCCTATGTTTAAAAGTCTTCCTTATGTGCAGTCTACTCCTGCTGCCAGAGAGGCTATGGGGAGGAGGTACCTATAGTCACACAGGTAGAATTTAAATTCAAATCTCTTTCCACTACACCAGATCCCCTAACCTCATGTTCTCCTACCATTGTATCAAGAAGTCTTTTTGTATGTCTATTATCAATCCCTACCATTGCCAGATGATGCTCATTGTCTCTTACTCTGTCCTTGGGGGAAGATGGGAACAAGTAAGGTATACTTTCAAACTGTTCAGAGACTGGGGGGAAACACACAGTTTCCTTCCCCCTTCTTCACTCTCAAATAGAAATGGAACCACTAAACCATACATAAGGATCCTTGCAGGCTGCATATTGACTTAGAAAACTACATATTGACATTATCAATGTTCTATTCCATTTTAATTTATTTGCTATATATTTCCTTCCCAATAACATATTAATATGTTTCAACCACACCAAAGGAGTGTTGCCAGCAGCATGTCTGACATCTCTGGTTTGCAGTTTCAAAAGCAGAAGAAAGGTCAAGTTTCCTTGAACAAAAACAAAAACCACAACCAAAACCATTGGATATAGAACTTAGGTCAGAAAGCAAGAAAAACAGAGACAGAAACACAGGGAGAAAGTGACTAACAGAGAAAGTCAACTGAGTTCAAGATCCTCTCCAAACTTCAGTGTCCATCCCAAGGATGCACAAGGGGAAAAAATGAGGAATAGGAATGACTCATAAAATTTTCTGTTTTTAAGGAAGGGGGAGGCCAGTCTGGAGTCAGTTGCTCATTCCATTACTATTGTGGTATAGCCTATATAATTCTAAAACAGACTGAAAAAACAGGTGTGGACTGAGGTCTTGACTACTAGAGCTCATGTTACTCAGAGCTGTCTTTTGTCTCAACCACCTCCTAGAAAGTGTGTCTTGTTTTCCATCATGGTTATGTCTGATCACAGACAATGAGGAAGAAACTCAGAAGGGAGATCCAGGAAAGAGGAAGGGACTATAAAAGACCTCCAGGGGAGGGCCTACCACAATATGGAGGCAGGGATATTGGCAGGATGACCTTTAAAGAGTGTTGATCAGAGGAGGGAGTGATCCTTGACCTTTATAGGTTTCAAAATATATGTTATGGGACTAGGCTTTTACTGGACCTGTGCCTCAGTCTTCCACTCTGGGGCAGGGAGACACACCAACATGACATGTGAAACAGAATTCTCATGGATCCCAAGAGAGAAGTTGAGGGAGGAGATAAAAGAAAAGAAAAGGAGGAGAGAGACAAAGGGACAGAGAAAAACAGAACAAGACAGAGACAGAGACAGAGACAGAAAGACAGAGAAAAAGAGAGAGCCAAAAACAGATAAAGAAAAAGAGAAGAGGAAGATTGTTTTGTAGTCTGAAAGACCAGAGCCTGGGCCTAGCAAAGGGCTCCTGGCTTTGAATGTAATAGAGCAATCAATCAATTAACAAACATTTATTTATCATCTGCTATGCTCCAGGCATTTTGTTAGTCTCTGAGGATATGAAGACAAAAATAAAAGTCTCTAATCTCATGGAGCTTATACTCTACCTAAAGGGAGGGGAAGACAACGTGTACATGTACAAGTATACAGAACTTACACAAAATTTATTACTGTACAAGGTAGTTTCAGGAGGGAGGGCCTGGCAGCTTAAGGATGGGCAGGAAGGGGGAGGATCAAGAAAGTCCAATGTATAAGGTGTCGTTGGAGCAAAATATTGGCGGAACCCAGCGATTCTAAGAGGTGGCGATGAATGGGGCAGCTAGGTGGCGCAGTGGTTAGAGCACCGGCCCTGAAGTCAGGAGGACCTGAGTTCAAATGTGACCTCAGACCAAACACTTGACACTTACTAGCTGTGTGACCCTGGGCAAATCACTTAACCCCAATTGCCCCCCCCCCCCAAAAGGTGGCGATGGGTAGGAGAGTAGGATGAGGATGAGAAGGGGAAAAGGAGGAAAAAGAAGTGAGAGGAAATAATAAAGGGAAATGGAGAAAGAAAACAGGAGAGAAAAGAGAGGAGAAAAAAGAGAAACAGAGAAAAGAAAGAGAGGAGATGAGAAAAAGAAAGAGAGGGGGAAAAGGAGATTAAGAGAGAAAAAGAAGCAACAGGTGAGGAACACACATAAAGAAACAGGTAAACTACAACCCCCAGCATGCCTTGGGGCGGGGGAGCCGGCTTTCCAGAAGTTCGAAGCAGTGTTTCCAGCGGAAGTGCTGAGTTGAGCTGTAAGTCTCCTCCTTCCCAGCCCTGCCTTTGCTGGCAGCAGCACGGACTACATCACCCAGGGTCCTTCGCGCGGATCCGGAATTTTCATAGAGAGTAAGGGCTGGAGTCCCAGGTGAGAGCTGAAGCTTTGTTTTTTCAGGGGTTGGGGAGGACAGGGCTTCCCTGGTGCAACGCCGAGGAGGAACCGAGGGAAAACTGAGGAACTCTGTTGGGAAGGAGAGGAGCTAGGAGTTTGCCCTGGGCAGATGAAGTGGATGGGTGGAAGCTAAAGTAGGGGGGATGGAGCTTAGATCGGGGCGGGGGGGGGAGGGAGGGAGAAGAAAAGGGGCGTTCTCCCCAGAAAGAGAACTGGACCCGAGGTTAGGAGAGTTCGGTTTTAATCCTAGCAGGTCGCTTCACCTTTCTGAGCCTCAGTTTCCTCATTTGTAAAATGGAAATAGCACTTTGCAAACCTTAAAGTGTAGAAATGTAAACTACTGTCGCGGGAAGACTTAACGTTGGGCTCACATTTCATATAGGATGTGGCCCTTGAACTGAGTTTGGAAGGATACAAAAGACCTCAAGGAGGTTAAAGTGAGGAGAGAGTATTCCAGGCATCAGGGAGAGCCAGCGCAAAAGCGTGGAAGTGGAAATGAAAGATGGATTATGAGGAACAGCAAGCAGGCCAGTGTGGCTGGTCTGTAGGTGCATGGAGAGAAGAGCAAGAAGACTGGAAATTATACATCATATAAGGGCTGTATTAATATAAATAATATGAAGAAAAAAGCTTTGTTGACCCACTTGAGAATTCTGATCAGTGCGATGGACAGTCATGACTCAGAAGACTTGATGATGAAGCATGTTTCTTACCTCTTAGCAGAGGTGATGGGACTACAGGTGTAGAATGAGCATACATTTTCAAACATATCCATTGTTTTGCTTGACTATGTTTGTTATAGAGAGGTCTTTTACTGGGGGGAGGGATGTAGAGGATTGTGTTTGGAATGAGGGTTGGTGCTGATAATAATGGGGAAAAAATAGAAGAAAGTAAAAAGTTTCAATGAAACATTAACCAACTACACAGAGAACAGAAAGAAGGGGACATAGACCAGCAGAGCCAAGAGTATAAATTAATGTACACTTTAAAAAACAAACCAAACTGCATAGTAGAATTTTACAGTTTAACATATAGTTCTGTTTTTCTGTTCTTTGTAGTTGAAATGTTTGTTGATATTTAAATTCATAATAAAAAGAAGAAATTTAAAAAATAATTTTTTTAAGAAGACTGGAAAGGTAGGAAGAGGCCAAGTTGGGAAGCATTTTAAATGTTGATCCTAGAAGCAGTTAGGAGCCACTGGAGTTTATTGAGAAGGGGGTAATATAGTTAGACCTGTGCTTTAACAAAATCACTTTGGCATCTGCCTGTGTGAAGACTTAGAGGCAAGAGGGGCTGGGTGTGCCTAACAGGCCTGCCTGGATACACTGGTACTTCACCATTGTGTGGGTGCAAGAATTTTTCCAAATTGTGAGGAGGGAAAGTTGGTTAAGGGAGCACAGAAGACAGGGCACAGGCCTTTGCAACTGAAGGGCTAAGCTGGTTCTTGAGTATAGGAAGGAAGCTTTTGGGAGAAAGGTCATTCAGGGAAGAGGGAGGTTGTGGCATTGATGGTGGAACTGGTAAGACAGTCCTAAGATCTATCCTCCCAGATCTTTAGGCCAATATATCTATTCCTTTTTCAATTGACTACTCAAACTGTCCTGGCCTTTAACTCTTGCACCCATCATTGTTTCTAGGACATACATACTCTTAGTTTTCTAAAATTTAAAACTAGGAGGGACCTGCCTGATAGGTAAGGGTTTGACCAGGGATAGAGTAGGAAGGAAGATACCATAACTGAGGCTTCCATAAAAGCTTCAAGAGGGGGAACTTTTCTGTTGCAGCAAATTTATAGTCATCTTTTTATGGGATATAGTGGGCAAATCAGATTGTGGTCTAGTGGGGAAAATAAGTCAGATGGAATGGAGTAGGTACGGTTCTACATGGAGGCCATGAAACTCTGCTGTATGGGTTTTGTCCAGTGTCACAAGTGAGTTGGAGTTCTCTCTTTCTGTCTCTCCCAGGTGATATCAGCATGGCCAAGTTACTAGTCTCCCCGGTGGGACCCCTAGAAGAATCTTTACCCGCCTTGCAGAAGCGTCCCTGCTCTCCTTCCAAAATAGCCCAGGGTTTCCTGGAGGAAGAATTAAGACTGAATGCTGAGCTGGACAAGCTACAGTTCTCAGAGCCTGTGGGCTTTATTTATAATCCCTTGAAATATGCCTTGGAGCTTCACCGAAGCTATGTCACCAGATACTGCCAAGGTCCCAAGGAAGTGCTGTTTTTGGGCATGAACCCAGGGCCCTTCGGCATGGCCCAGACTGGGGTGAGGGGGTCTGAGAAGTAGGGGTGGAGGGGGGAAGTATGGGTGATCCAGATGCCTGGGTTATATGGGGGAAACACGTCCATGTAGGAACCATATGGAGAATTTGTGAACATATGGGGTCCCCCACTCCCTTTGCAAATTTGTCACCTTAAATTAAGGATAGGGAACCTGCGGCCTCAAGACCACATGTGACCCTTTAGATCCTCAAGTGTGGCCCTTTGACTGAATCCAAACTTCACAAACAAATCCCTTTAATAAAAGGATTTGTTCTGTAAAACTTGGGCTCAGTTGAAAAGCCACACCCAAGAACCTAGAAAGGCCACATGTGGCCTCACGGCCACAGGTTCCCCACCCATGTGATACTGTCTCTACTTCACTGATAGTTGATAGCCAAGCCTATTAACTATGGTTCCATTTCACCCTTTTTGTCCATCACCCTCCAACTCCACCCCTACACTTTGATTTCTGCCCCCTCTAATGTCAAGAAAAGAAAAAGAAGAAAGACCTTTCATCCCTTCTCCTTTCTGAGGGGGAACTCTGAGAAAGAGCTCAGTTCTTTTCAAAGAGAAAAAAAGGTACCCAAATGGGGAAGGATGGAGGTAAGAAGCAGAAGAGGATATTGAGGTGGGCTCACATTTCTGGATCTCTCTTCTGGACTAAAGAGAAGCACAGAAGTCAATGCTGGGAGGTCAAAATGACTGTGCATTTTCTAGGATAAGTAAATGCCCCCTTAGAAGGGATTACAGGCATGTGAGGGTGTGATCTCTACAGCAAGAGTTTTAATCATTTTTCCTGACCCCAGCTAATGATGAATGATTGTCCATCCACCTGGAGAGTTAGGGAACAGGTTGCCAGGGTCCCAGGAACTGCCTGGTTCCCGCCACCCCCAACTTCCTTCATTTTCCCCTACTGGAAAAAATACATTTTATTACAAAATACATTTTATTGCAAAAATCTTATAAATAAGGTCTTGCTTTTTCTCCTTGTCCCTACTCCCTTATCCCAATTTGAAAAAAAGATTGCTTCCAAAAAAGTAAAACTTCAGACCATGTGGGCTTTGTGCCATAACAAAGCCCTAATCTGTGCCATAACAGATTCCTCTCCCTCCTTCTCCTTGATCCTTGTTGTTATACCTGGGCTCAGAAGATCATAGTGCAACAAGGGGACCCCCGCTCCAGGTCAGTGAGAGGAGGAGGCTGCCCGTAGATATCTCTCAACTTCCAGTGATGAGTTTGAGGACACTACAGGTTTGATAACTAGGAGGAAGTTCAGAGAGGAATGACCAACTCTGCTCTGTGTGTGTGTGTGTGTGTGTACACACATATATGTATATGTGTATATGTGTGTGTACATATGTGTGTGTTTATGTATATGTGTGTGTGTGTATGTATTTTCATTTTACATTGAGTCCTTCCAATCCTAGCTACTTGTCTGTTTCTGTCCATAGGACTTTTCCCAGCCTTAGGTCTTAAGTACCTTTAATACAGTCCTATCTAGAGCTAAGGATCTTGAAATACTCATTGACTAGAATTTGTGTCAATTCCCAGCAACAAAAGTGGTGTCCTGGACCCTTAGTTCTTGTTGGGAGTTGGAGTGGAGGAGCCAGACAGTTCTTAGAATCTAGTCACTCTGTTTTCCAACTTTCCAGATGGGTAGATAGAAATCTGAGATTAGATTCCTCAGGGAGAATGGAAAGGGGAAGTTATACCATAACCTAGGTATTCTGTCCCTAAACTTGTGACTCTCATATCTCTCTTCATAGGTGCCCTTTGGGGAAGTGTCTGTGGTCCGGGACTGGCTGGGCATTGTAGGAACAGTGTTAACTCCACCCCAGGAACACCCCAAGCGGCGAGTGCTAGGGTTGAACTGCCCACAGTCAGAGGTGAGTGGTGCTCGCTTTTGGGGCTTTTTCCGTGGCCTCTGTGGGCAACCTGAGACCTTCTTCAGACATTGCTTTGTCCACAACCTATGTCCTCTTCTTTTCTTGGCCTCTACGGGGCGCAATCTCACACCTGCGGAGCTGCCTGCCAAGCAGAGAGAGCAGCTACTGGGAGCCTGTGATGCTGCCCTTCGACGTCAGGTGCAACTGCTGGGTGTTCGCCTGGTGGTAGGAGTGGGGCGCGTGGCAGAACAGCGGGCTCGCCGAGCACTGGCAGACATGGTGCCTGAGGTTCAGGTAGAAGGGCTCCTGCACCCTTCTCCTCGAAGCCCACGGGCCAACCGAGGATGGGATGCTGTGGCTAGAGAACGACTGAAGGAATTGGGCCTCATGCCTCTGTTGACAGTTGAGTGAAGTGCCTAAAATATGCCCATTCCCAGGCTGAAGACAATAGGGAAAGCCAGTGTTCCCAGGCATAGAAATCTCATCCTTGGATGTGGAGAAGACAATATGCCAGCTGGGCTGAACATACATGTGATAAGGTGCTATTTGTATATGTAACATCCTGACCAGATCCCATCTAGGGAACTGGAAAATGTTTACTTTCATTCTCTGAACTCTTTATACTGTTTCAGTCATAACACTATTCTCACTCTCCCTTCTAATTCGTGCCTCCTCTCTCATTTGGGCCCTTCCACTTTGGGCTTGGTACCCATACACTACAGGGAGCTGGCAAGTAGATGCTTTCCCAGATAACGTGATACCTTTTGTCTCTTCCTCCTCTTTGGTGGTCTGGCTAAGTGGCTTATGGAGATGGTATTGGCACCTACAGGAAGAAAGGTCCCAACCAGAAGCCATGACTATCTGTAGGAAACTTTGAACTTGAACTTTTAAGACATGGATATGAGAAATGGGCATCAATGCAAAGGAGGGATCAAAGTTAGACTTGGAGAGGACATCCTGACCGTTGAGGGCTGGAGGCACTGAAATGCACTACCAAGAGAGGGGATATTTCTGTTCTTGAAGATCAAACCTTCATATTCATACTTTGTGGTAAAGAACTGCTATGCTCAAGTGAACCTGATGACCCCTGAAAAACCTTTTTAGCCTGAAAACTTATTTCTGGATGCATTAAACCCCTAACCCCTCTTTATTGTGTCCTTTTTCATTTGTCTCCGTCTTAAGAGGTTTAGGCTCCTGAGGGGTTCTGTTCTGCTGGGTAAGGGATAGAGTGTATAACAGGCTGACTCAGGGTGGTTCCTGTTAGTTTAGGTTGGGTGTTGGAACAAAATAAGACACTCAAGTCATTCAGCAATAACAAAAAGAAATTTATTGAGCCATAGCATAGAAAGAATATTCAACAAAGATACTACAGCACTTAGCTTAGGTAGACTTGGCCCCTTTGGCCTCCATGTGGAAACCCATCTGGTCAACAGAGCCAAGGGGTGACTCAGGTGGCCTAGAGACTTCTGCCAAAATCTAAGGACCCCAACTCCATATGGGTGGGTCTTTTCTTTTAAGTCACCAGGAGATGCCAAGTCAATATGGCAGAAGCTGCATCAATGGAGATGGTGTTTGAGCCTTAGCCTCCTGGGCCAATTAAGTTTTGGGATAGTTTTCTTGTCTTTTAGGGAAAGAACTAGCTAAATGTATGTGGGTGGTAGACCATGGTACCACAGACCCTGGTAGATAGTGAGCCTATCACGGAAACCATAAAGGGTTCTCTTCTCACTCACCTTCTGGAAACTATAACATCCCTATTAAAATCCTGTCTAGTACTTGGAGATGTCAGGTATTAGTGTTAGATGAATCCTAGCCAAGTGGTAGAGACACTTGAGTCTCCATTTGGCATCCCCCTCCATCCCTCCAGTGAAGAGTAGGAATTCAAGCTGAGTCCTGGGTTATTTTCATACTTGCCAGAAATAGGGGGCAGTTGCCAGAAATGGGGAGATGTTGAAGCAGACCAAATTTGAGCTACCATCTCTTGGGACTAACCCCTTACTTTGAAAGATAATCTGGCAATAGCTCCTATCTGCTGATAGTTACAGTGTGAGAGGAGTGAACAGCTCTGTCTGCAGGGTCCTGTATTAGGGCAATACCAAAGAAACAGATCCCATAATGGCTAAATATTTATTGAGAACCTGTTACATGTAAAACAATCTCAGGTGCTGTGGGGAATACGAGATGAATAAGTCATGGTTTCTGCTTTTAAGGAGCTTAAAATTCTTGATATTAGACATGCATAATGGGGCCTAGTTGGAGAATCCTGGACCACGAGTTAGGAAATCAGAAGGATCTTACACCAGACTCGCATTCCAGTCTTTATCTATGACATCATCAACTGAGACCCTGGCTTTTGGGAACCAGTCTTTTTTCTTTATGTGTAAATGGAAGAGAAAAGTCAGTTAGTGCTAAGTGAATTGAATAAGATTTGGATGGAGGGAAGATTAAAAAACTTAAGGCGTACTCTGTCCACATCGGACTCTAACAAGTGATTATAGGAGGACAGGTTTAGAGTTGGAAGGGACCTTAGAGATATCTAGTCCACTCTCTAGATATTCTTAGAGAGTATCTCCTAAGTGAGAAAACTGAAGTCCACAGCGATTAATTAGCTCCATAGAATCACAGAATTTCAGGGTTGGAAGGCACTTCAGTGACTGTGTAGTCCAACCTATACCTAAAAAACAATCTCTATAATAATAGACAACAAGTAATCATCCATCCTTTGAAGAGAGAGAACTTACTACCTTCCACTTTGGGCCAGCTCTCATCAAGCTCAAATTAGCCTTAACATTTTTTAACCCATTGCTCCTAGGGCTGTCCAAATAGTTGAGGCGAAAAAGTTGACTCAACAGGGACTGATTTGTCTTTGCCTTGGTATCCCTAGGTCCTAGGTAATAAACAATAAAAATTGGTTGAAATTCATTTATTCGGCACCTACTATTTGCTAGGTTTTTTGCTAAGTTCTGCAGGTAGAGCAAAAACAAAACAATCCCTAATTCTATTAAGCTGAAATTACATCTAGTCAGTTACGCAGATAGAAAATAAATATAAAGTAAATTGGAAATGGGGGAGGACTCTACCATATGGGTGGAAGTGGGGAGATAAGAGTAGGCTTCTTGTAGGAAGTGGCACTTTTGAGGAGCCATGAAAGAAGCTAGGGATTCAGAGGTGAGGAAGGAGAGAGTTACAAGCATGGCCCTTAAAGAGGAGCAGAGACAGGAGGCTGACAAATTGAGTTCAGAAAGCAGCTAGCAGGCCACTTTGGCAAAAACAGATAATTGCAATTTAGGATTTGCAAAGTGGTTTTTTTTGGGGGGGGGGAGTAGGCAATGGGATTAAGTGACTTGCTCAGTCACACAGCTAGTAAGTGTCAAGTGTCTGAGGTGGGATTTGAACTCAGGTCCTCCAGACTCCAGGGCAGGTGCTCTATCCACTGCGACATCTAGCTACCCCTAAAGTGTTTTACATACATTAAGAATGATGGGATCAGAGAACTAAAAGTAGGCTAATCTGACTTAAATGAAAGGTAAGAGTGGGAGGTTTAAAAAACAAAACAAACCTTGGGAGGTTGGAACCAGATGGTGAAAGGTTTTGAATGCCAGCCAAGGCATTCTTTAAAAAAACAAAAACAAAAAAACAGCCAGTACAGGGATGAAGATTGCTACAACATACATAACTCCATTTCAGAGTTTATATTAGTACCACTCAGAACTATCTCCATGTAGAAGTCAAGTCAAGTCAACAAGCATTTATTAATCACCTTCTATATTCGGGACATTATACTAAATGCTGAAAATACAAAGAAAGGCAAAAACAAACAGGAAGAAACAATCCCTTCTCTCAAGGACCTTCCAGTCAAGTGGAGAAGATAACATGCAAACAACTATGCAAACAAGATATATCCAGATAAATTGGAGTTAAATCTCGGAAAAGGCACAGGAATGGAGGGTTGTCAGAAAAGACTTCTTTTAGATGGTGGGATGTTAGATGGGACTTGAGTCTAAAAGAAGACAATAAATTAGTCACCAAAAGGGAGAGGAGCGTGCAGAGAAGGGAATCCAGAAAGAAATGTTTGGTAAGAAAGCTTAGGTGGATGTAGTAGGTTGGTCTTATTCCCCTTATCCATCTTCCCTCCCTGTAGCAGGATTAATACTTCAAGGCCTAGGGTTGTATGTTCCAAGTTTGTTTTTGTTTTATTCCTGTTGATGGAACTCCTACCATTATTTCCTTGGATTGCCTCTGGTTGAACATAAACTTCTTTAAAGATTTAGAGTAAAAGATGGTGACAAAAAATGCTACAGTGAAGTCCAGCTCCAATAATAAGCTCTCCAGCAAAGAGGAAAAAAGAACTAGAGGAAGCAATGATAAATTAAACTTAATGGAACTTCCAGTAAGCACCTCTGTCTAGTCCAGAGCTGCATAATAAGATGGTCAGATCCATTACAATCACAAGGCAAAGTGGAAAAACCATATAATGTATAGGATGCCAAGGATTTCACCTTACAAGTCACAGCCAGGAATTATATGAACACAACTATAAAATGTTCTTTAGGGCAGCTAGGTGGTGCAGTGGATAGAGCACTGGGCCTGGAATCAGGACCCGAGTTTAAATTTGACCTTACATACGTCCTAGCTGTGTGACTCTGGGCACCTCACCTACCCCTTTTGTTCCCATTTCCTCATCAGTAAAATGAGTTGGAGAAGGAAATGACGAATCACTCCATTATCTTTGCCAAGAAATTCCCAAATGGAGTCATGGCGAGTCAGACATAACTGAAATGACTCAACAACAACAAAATGCATTTTACAGAAATAAAAGAAGACAAAAAATTGGAGATATATTGTTTGTGGGCAACCTATGCTAATATAACAAAAATTGCAATATTAGCTAAATTTACAAATTCAATGAATCATAGAATTTGAGACTTGGAAGGAACCTCAATGGCCAACTCATCCAATCCATATGCAATAGGAATCCCCCATTACATATTTGAGACAATTAATCATCCAGCCTCTGCCCAGAGACCTCCAAGGTGAAAGCCTATTTCACTTTTTCCTGACATTGTGTCTAAAATGGACCCTTTGCACCCTCTACCCATTGCTCCTGATTCTGCCTGTTGGGGCCAAACAGATTAAGTCTAATCCTTCCTGCAAGTGACAGCCTTTCAGATATTTAAAACAGCTGTCCTGTACTCCCTGTGTCTTGTCTTTTCCAAGCTAAGTATCTCCAGTTGCTTAACTCAGTCCTTATTTGACATGAACTCAAAGTCCTTCACCATCTTTGTTGCCCTCCTCTGGACATTCCCCTTTGAGAAGATGCCTTGCATAGGGTCTTTGTTGTTGGAGATCTGTGATCTACACATACCTTGTAGACCTGACTTTAGGGCAACTGTGGAGATTGGGAAGAAGGAAAAGGAAATAGAAATAACTGTGCAGAGGTTGGAGGGGGAAAGGAGGGAGACAGCAAACATGAGCACAGAATAAGGGTCTATCTAGGGATCAAAGTCCAGAATCCTAGGTGCTAGCCTTGGGACTCTCCCTTTCCCAGGAAAGAAAGAGTTTCTTGTCTAGGGAATGAATGAATGGGACAAAAAAAAAGCACTTAAGTTCTGAGCATTAGGAATGGGTAGCTAGGGGGTGCATTGGATAGAGTGTTGGGTCTGAAGTAAGGAAGGCTCATTTTTTCTAGTTTCAATCTGGCCTCAGACACTTAATAGCTATGTAACCCTGGGCACTTAGCCCTGTTTCCCTCAGTTTCCTCTCTTATAAAAGGAGCTAGAGAAGGAAAAGACAAGCCACTCCAGTATCTGTCAAGAAAACCCTAAATGGGGTCACAAAGAGTCAGACATTGAAAAATGACCAAACAAAATGCAATGGGAATATTAATGCCAACAGGGTCCATCTCTGATTTTAAGGAGCTTATTTCTATTGAGAAGGTAAAGTATGTAAAAGAATGGTGGTCAAGTAGAGGTTTTTGGTTTGCAAGGATGCTGAGTTGAGCAATAGAAGAGTTGCTTGACATGTACTTTCTAGTAGTATTGGCAGAATTGATTGGATTGGGAGTGAAAGGCACAGGCAGCAACATAGATGTAAAAATATGGTGGCCTGGAAGGTATCCAGAGAGGTGTTTTGAATGGCCAGGATGG